TCGCGCCCGAATCAAACCCCAGCCGGAGCCACCACCTTCCAAGCAGCTGCCTGCCCTAGTCCTCCTCGACCCGCCGCTACGGCCATCTCGTTGCACAACCTTTCGGCCAGGCACCAACACCGCAGCACTTCAGTTCCGCGCCGGCGGAAGGACAACGGTGAGACACAGCCCCTTTCCCTCCTCCTCCGCTTCGGTTTCTAGTATCCTGGCGGCGGGTGAGGAAGCGCGCATGCGCACTCCCACCTGCAGCCCGCCTGGTGGTGGTCCTTGTCCCCGTCCCCGCTGCGACGCCCATGTCGCGATCGGGGAGCGATGGCACCGCCGCACTGGAGCGGGCCGGGGCGGAGACGGTGAAGCGAGCGGTGGAGCTGGACCTGGCGTCTCGGTTCCAGGAGTCGTTGGTGTGCTACCAGGAGGGCATCGACCTCCTGCTGCAGGTGGTGAAAGGTACCGGGCGGCGGCCGGGCGAGGGGCGGTTTGGCAGCAGTTTACTACAGCCGTTGGGACGGTTAGTTGTTAAATACATCCCAGCTCTGTCGGAGGCCGCCGGCCGGGGGTGGTTTCGAGGAGAGACGAGCCGTGCTTGCCGCCGAGGGCCGGCCCCGGTCCCCGCGGTCGCCTCACGGGGAGGGAGAGGGAAGCAGGTAGTCTCTTCCCCCGCCTTGAGGAGAACGGGCCCGTGTGCTTGTCATTCACAGCCACGAAAGATGAGGCAAAAAAGCACCGTTACCGGCAGAAAATATCCGAGTACATGACCAGAGCTGAAGACATTAAAAAACACATTGAAAAAGAGAAACAAGGTATGGAGCTGTGATGTACCCGTTCACATTTAAATACCTGGTTTTATGTGAATGTTTTATGGATGAGGTGGTTAACACAGGAATTATGTCATGATCTTTACTGAAAAAGAGACTTCTTTTCAGATGGCAAATACCATAAGCAAATCAGGATAGAGGAAAATGCAACAGGTTTCGGCTACAAACAGCTTTTCCAAGAGTACCTTACTGAGATTGTTTCTGAAGTTTGGGTGGAGGATCCGTACATTAGGCATGTTCATCAGGCAAGTAGATATTCAGTGTAACTGAGAGATGTAACTGAGCAACCTGATCTAGTTGGAGATGTCCCTGCCCATGGCAGGGGGGCTGGAACTAGATGATAACTTTAAGGTCCCTTCCAACCCAAACCATTCTATGTTTCTATGATACTAAGAACATTTCAAGTTACTAAATTAAATAAAACTTTTACAGTTGTATAACTTCCTACGATTCTGCGAGATGCTAGTTAAAGGGCCGTGCAACGTGAAAACAATCCACCTCCTCACTTCCTATGATGAAGTAAGTGTCTAGGTTTTGGTTTCTGTTTCCCCATACTCAGGTGATAACACATGAAAAAAAAATATATATAAATTTTATGTTAAAATACAGATTTGTTCTTATTTACCAGTGCCTGTTAGACTGAGGCTCTGATGCCTTCAGCAGAAAACACAGATTAAGAGAAAAATAAATGTGGTAGTTGAACGTAAGGAATTTTATAAATTCAGAGTTTTCTGATAACTCTTAAGAAATTCTTGGTAAGCAGGATCTTAAATGAAAAATACATTTTTGTGCAAGTTTTATTGTGAAAAATGTCATCAAAACCAAAGCATCTATTGAGATACATTTTTTTTTCTCTTCCAACAGCTGTATATAGTTGTCATTTTTGAGGCTTTGATGAGCTAAAACTTCTCAAACTATCACTGCATTTATTTTGTCTCAAATAGTAATTCATATCTAGTTTCAAAGGGCTGAGAGTGAGCTCCTTCTCCACATCCCTTAGCAAGTGTACCTGTAATCTGTCTGCTTTTTATCCTGTCTTTGAAACTGCAAATCTGCCTTCATCCAAGTTATTTTCTTTTGGTTTAAGTTATTACTAAAAAGGTTTTGTTGGTGAGTTTAGGAAGAGGTGACCAGAAGTAGAATATATTGTTATATTTTTATGGTTATGTATGTATATTTTAATTATTTTTATTATTTATTTATTATTATTATTTATATATTTATGGTGCTATATTATGGTTATGTATTTTTACTTTTAACAGGGTAGTGGGAGGAGTCAGCAGATAAGTGGCTTGAATGAAATACAAGAATCATTGAGGAATTATGGAGTAACACTGAATATTTCATTTTCATCTTCAATACATGATCGAGAAATCAGGTGGGTGATATAAAAAATCGGTGAATGCCAGTTCTTTGAAGTCAAGCTACTTAACCCTAACTTTTGAGACAATTTCTAATTACGGCTGTAGTTAACAGAGTGGAAGGCAGTGGCCCTCACTGGATAAATTCAGCCCTCCGTAGTTTCATGTGTTCTAACTGTGAACATAATAGTAGTTGTCTCTTTATACAGAAGAGTGTCTTCCATGGTTCATACAGGTGTCAGCTGCACTAGGAAAGAACTGTGATTGAAACAAGGAGCTTGTATGTCATGTGGATGTAACTATTTTTTTGATTCAACATACTCAGAGTATTCAAATTTGTGAATTTTTAAAGCAGATTCAACAATGGATGGATGATTAAGATTGGAAGAGGTCTTGATTATTTTAAGAAACCACAGGTAAGAATGCTTTGACCTCTTTAATTAACTTACACTGTAGAAGAGCTCATTCTATGCTCACTGCCTCAATTCTGTTAACTTCTGCAGGGTCGTTTCAGCATTGGATACTGTGACTTTGACTTGCGACCTTGTCATGAAACAACAGTGGATGTCTTTCATACTAAACATACAAAGAAAATGTGATCAGATGTGACTGCTTTTAATGAGTGTTTTTATAAGCATAAAGATGTAAGACTGGAAGATGCCGCTTGACTCCAGCTGTCCACCCTCAGAAGCAGCTCTTCTAAGTACTTAGTCCAGCACAGCTTTTTTTATAATCTATAGGTTTAAGTATATTTGAGATTTTTCAGTCTGAGAAAACACAACTGTACAATTCCTGTACTGTACTTCTCCCATAATCATAATTAGTACAATCCATGTCTAAATTTGATTTTCATTTCATAACAGACCCTCAATACTGTCTCTCAAAGGCCTCTTTACTGTCATGTCTATTTTTACTATTAATTTTGTCTTGAGCAAATTTTGGTTTCTTTATCTTCAATTGACCACCTCACAGACATTTGAAGCTGGGCTGCCACATGTCCTCTTTTATAAGCAGCCTTATTTATTTCCTTTAATTCCTGTATTCTAGTCATGACTGCTGTTCTGCTGTGTTTTGGTCAATCCTGTAATACCTGATTTCACAGACTTTACTAGTAACCCCGAATCTAACATTCCATTTTCCAAGCTCCTTGCATACAAACATCGTAGTGTTCAGCATACAGACATTTTAGGGTTGTCTTATATGTCTCTGCATGATGGGGTTTGGGCTGGAAAGGATGCAAACAGCTGTATTCTTTTCCCTATCACTCCTATCCATTCTTTTATTCCGTGATGTATGGTCATATACCTGATTTCCATCCTTTGCATTAGGTGTGAAAAGGTTGTATGATCCTCTCCCATTCTTTTTCCTTGACTTCCAAGTTTAATGTCCTTCCAGCTAGTCATGCCAGTCTGAACTGCAGCATGCTATTTCCCTGCTGCTAAGATAGTCCCCTAAAAAAATAATTGATTTTTAAATTCTTCCAAAAGTTGGATACCCTGAAACTTTCTTGTTAATAATGATTCTAAGGAATATGCTAACTGGAAAAAAAAAAAGACAAAACCTTTCCTTGACTTCCCTTCATCCTCTGGAAAGCAGAAGGTATTGCTTGAGCTGCTGCTTCTTTTTCTCCTAATACAAGGGTTCTTGATCACTGTCAGCAAGAATCTGGCAAAGTCTTATGTTGCGACATGAAGAACAGGCAGTGGCCTCTTCTGCAGGTCCCATCAAAATCTTTTCTGCCTCAGGACTGATAGGTGCCTTATGCATTCTGCATATTGTATTACAATATGCCTCCATGGTTCTACTAGCATGTTCATTGCTAGAACTTTTTCTCTCTCCTGTGTTTCTTTTTCCTGATGACTGGTGTATTCCATTATCCTTTTTTTATTATTTGCTTCATTCTTCTTTCACCTTCTGTCATCTAATGCTGCTGTTCTTTTAGTCTTGCCTCTAACACAACAAACGTATTCCACAGCTATCAAGAAGAAACAGAGCTGGTCTTTGCCTTGTTCTCTGGGTCACAGTTTGCCAATGGTCTGCCGCCTTTATCCTTTCGCAAAATAATGTCTCTGCTTTCTAGTGTTACTTAGCAGAAAGAATAACATACGTGCCACAGCAGCTGTACACTACCAGTCAGTCCCCCCAAACATTCCATAGAAACTCCCTGGCTTGCTGCCGTGATACTAAGTTTCTGGTCAATGTAATCAGTTTTATTCAGTTGTGTATTAATATATGCCTATTTTTGATGGGAATAAAGGTTATTTTTATTATTTGTAGTTTTAGTCATCTGTTTGAATTCTTCTCTGCACTACATAGGGTAATTCAAGGAAGCTGGGTAATGCCTTATAGGTCAGCCATATCTGGGAGAAGGTTCACTGTAAATACAGTAAGCTTCCCAAATGTGAAGCTTTCTATCTTTTAACCTAGTCTAGCAATTTCAAATATACATGGGCAAAGTAAAAAGCCACCTTAAATATTTTAAATCAACTTTAAATCTTAATACTTAATTGGAAATTAAAATAAAAATCTTTATGCTTCTGCATCTTGTAATACAATATGCCTCCCTGTTCTAGTAGTAAGCCCCACTGATGTGGTCCCCTACAAACACCCCAAGAGGCAAGCATGGTCTTCCCTCTCTTGCCTGGTCATCGCTAGAAATTTTTTCTCTTTTTTCTAATTAGACTGTAATTCAGTAGCTAAGACTATGGCTTTCCTTGTAGATCTCATGGATATACAGTATCTGTACATGCATATAACTAAGCCTTTCGCAATGCACCAGTTGGCACTGCACTGCAATTTTCACCTATAAACCCTTTATCTCTGAATAGTTCCTTTCACTGTCAGTAGGAACACCAGGTATGAACAGGAATGGGCGTCAATGTATGGGGAAAAAAAAATTATGAGCAATCTAAGACTATGGTTCCGCTACCATTTTACTGACACCAGGCCATGTTCTTCTGCACTGCCGCTTGTGCTTATGTAGTCAGTTCATTGCCTGGATTGTGCAGCCAGGACTATCCCTCCTGGCATCATCTGTGGAGATGAGCTTAAGCTTCCCCGCTGGAGTCAGCTAAGTGTTGTTCAGTCCTGCAGTCTGACTGCCAGCCCAAGCCAAGGGCTGGATTCACCCCCATTGACTGCTCTCCTGGCTAAAGGTAGGTCGCTTCTGCCATGTGATTTCCTCCTACTGAGTGCTAGTCAACCAGACATCTTTCTTTAAAAGATGACAGTGTGCAAGTAACACAACATAGCACCTCACAGGCCTTTGCAGGCCTTATTCCTTGAGTAGTATTTGCAGAGAACAGTGTTGTCTGCATGATTTAATTAGCAAAGAAATGAAGTATTCATAAAAGGATATACTGCCTCGGGCTTCCTAATCTGACTGTCTAGATCCTCCTCATCTGAAGAATTTCAGCTGCTGCTGTTACTTACCACATCCTGCTTACTTGACAGTTTGGTGAAGAATAAATTGTCACCTAGCAGAATATGAACTCTGTAACTGCCTTACTTCAGCAGAGATCCTATCAGCAGAGGATGTCTCTGCTGCTCTGTGTTCTCTCCTATACCAATAAACTGCTGCTGTTTTCATAGAATCATAGAACAGTTTGGGTTGGAAGGGACCTTTAAAGGTCATCTAGTCCAACCCCCCTACAATAAGCAGTGACATCTTCAACTAGATCAGGTTGCTGAGAGCCTCGTCCAACCTGACCTGGAATGTTGCCAGGGATGGGGCATCTACCACTTCTCTGGGCAACCTGTACCACTGTTTCACCACCTTCATTGTCAAAAATTTATTCCTTCTATGTAGTCTAAATCTACCCTCTTTTAGTTTAAAATCATTACCACTTATCCTATCACAACAGGCGCTGCTAAAATGTTTGTCCCCATTTTTCTTACAAGCCCCGTTTAAGTACCGGAAGGCTGCAGTAAGGTCCCCCTGGAGCCTTCTCTTCTCCAGGCTGAACAACCCCAACTCTCCCAGCCTGTCCTCACAGGAGAGGTGTTCCAGCCCTCTGATCATTTTGGTGGCCCTCCTCTGGACCTGCTCCAACAAGTCCATGTCTTTCCTGTGCTGAGGGCTCCATAGCTGGATGCCGGACCAGCTACTTTCCTAATGTTACTTTATACTGAGCTATTATTTTCATTTAACATGACAACTATCATTTTCAGGTCACCATGGCCTTTCAGTAGCAAATTTTCTCCTAGGTTGTAACATAAGGAATCTATTTCTCCTACATCTGTATTTGCAAGTGTATTTCCTGATGTAGAAGTGTTTCTACTTCTAGCTTGGATACCAGTACCTATGGCAGCAGTGACTCCCAGTGTTGTGCCAGGCAATGCAGCTCCCAAGGAGGCACCTACAGCCTCCCACCCTCACCACGTAACACCCCCCCCCGCAACTTCCTAATCCTTCCCCCCCTGTTTGCACATGCATGGACAAAAGCCCTAATCCAGGGTGGAACTGCTGGACTGCTCTACTACGCAACAACTTAGCTTACTACCATTCTTGTAAGGTGGGAGAGGGTCACCAGCACTCTCCAGGAAAGGACTTTCAACCAGAAACCGGGGGGACATCCCTCTCCACACAGCTCAGGGGCTGAGACGTGGCCTTTGAGCTACTGTCTGCAAGCCATACGATACAGGCTGGGGGATCCAGCGCAGCAGCACAGCGGCAGCTTCCCATCTGCCCCATCCCATTCGTGTCAGCCATTTGTACCTTCTCTGCTGCAGAGCCAGTCTGAGATGCTGCCACCATTCTCCCTGGTTTAAGCAGCGACTATGTCTGTCAGCATGGAGTGATACAGGGCTGCAGCCTATTGCAGTGGCTTACATCCTACAGTCTGGGAACCTTGGGTGAGGCAGTGTGACATTTTGTTGCCAGTAGGTAATATTAACCCAAAGCACAAGATTAAACAGTTTTAATGACTAATAAATGAGAAAGAATCATCCTGTAGAAATGAATGTTTTGTTTTCAATAAATTAACTTAAAAAGCAGCAGAAATTTAGCTTACATTTTCAAAATGCAAGTCACATTAACATTTTCATATTCTCACATAGCAGATTCCACCTGCTATGCAACTCATTATCTTGTGGACACACTCTGAGTAACGTTGTTGCTAGTGCAGTGGTTTCATTTGGGCAAAACTTACTGCCAGTAAGGCTCTTCACCAGTTCACTGCACAGTGCAGGTGGCAGCCACTGCTCCGGCAGATCAATGTTACAGGCTTCAATCCTTCCATGCTTTACATCCATATCTACTTTAACATCAAGAACTGAATCTTTATGGACCATCTTAAAACAAGTGCTAATGCTGAACTTTGGTGTCTTTCCATACACCCATTCCCAGGTTTGTAGTTCTTCAGTTTTATTATTAATTCCAGGAAGCACAGTCTCATCAGCTGGATTTATTAAGGTGATACGATGATCTATTTGGTGTTGCATCGCATATTCTTCAGCAATGGCATCCAGGAGCATCTCACAAGTTAAACTAGGATCCTCTTCAAGGAGATTTTTCACTAAGGCAGGCACGCTAGGAGTGGCATTGCTTTTTAGCCCTTTGTAAGGACTCTTTAGCACGGAAGATAAAACAAACTTATCTGCGCTACAGAGTAAGGTACAGTGGTGATAAGCAGTTGCCCTTCCCAGCTTTGCAGCAGTACCTGAGATTTTGTATTTCCCGTCTAGCAAGATGTCGTATCTGTCAGTGACATGGACATCTAACTGGGGGCGCAAGGTTTTCAGTGCCTTCACAACTAGTTTTAGGTTTTCCATTCGTTCATATTTTTTTCTGGTTGTAAAGAAAGTCAAATTGATATTGCCTAAATCATGGTAGACTGTCCCTCCTCCACTTCTCCTCCTGGCTAGTTTTATTTTTTTTTCC